CGCAAAGAGTAAGTCCTTCCATTTTCAAGCAACTTGGATTCTTCATCCTAATTTCAGGAACCTTGTTTCTCAGACTTGGCTAACCACTTAAGGCAATGCCATTATGAAATTGGATGGGTGCGAGAAAAAAACTATTGTTTTTAATTAGAACATCTTTGGAAATATTTTCAAATGCATAAGAGATCTGGAGGCAAGAATCAAAGGAGTTCCTAAAATCCTTGATCATTGTCCCACTCAAATATGATTCAACTTGAGCAATCTTTTTAGAAGCAATACACTGATGTCTTGACTTGTGAAGAGTTGCTCTAGTTCCAAAAATTTATATAGAAGTGGGTAAATTTTGGTAATAAAAACACCAAATTTTATCATAGCTAGACCATTATTAGGAGGAGAAGAAAATGGTATCACTAGTTTGTTTGTGCATGGGACTTGGTGCATGGATGTGAATATTTTGAAGGGAGAGGCCCAAGTATTTTTTAAGAGATTTTTTGTTTCAAACAAGTCTTACACCCCCCATAATTTATAACTTCAAAATATTTGCCCCATTAGTGTGGATATGGTGGATGCTTTGCTTAAACTAGTGTCTTTGTAAGAGGTGAGATGTGTTATGTTCTTTATGAACCCCTACAAGGTGCTTAGGCCAAATAGTTTTCAACCTATTTGTGGGGGATAAGGTGTGTGATTTGGTTCAGACAATGTTCAATACTGGTACCTTTCCCAATCAGTCATTCGAGACCTTGATTGTTGTTATTCCTAAGGTTGATAGCCTTACTTCCATGGAGCAATTTTAGCCCATAAGTTTGTGCAATGTTCTTTTCAAGATTATCTCTAAGGTGTTTGTTCACAAACTCCATCCTCATATGGATTCCATCATTTATCATCTTTAGAGTAATTTTATTTCTAATAGAGGCATTGCTGATAATGCCTTTATTGCCTAGGAGATTGTACACCATATGCATAAGTAGACGGAAGGTAAGGCTAACCACATTTTATTCAAGATAGACTTTGAGAAGGCCAATTATAGGGTTAATTAGGACTTCTTGCATCTAACCTTGATAAAATTTAGGTTTCCTTCCCCAACCATTGACTTGATCATGAATTGTACTTGTTCAACCTCCTTGGCTCTAAAGTGGAACAATGAGACTTTGGAGAGTTTTCAACCAAATGAGGGCTTACAATAAGGTGATCTACTCTCACCATATTTGTTTCTTTTGTGCATGGAAAAGCTTTCCTTATTGATCCAACAGAGGGTTTGTTGGGGAGTTTGGTAGTCAATTAAGGTGTCTAATGAAGGGTCGGAGATATCACACCTTTTCTTTGCTGATGATTGCCTATTTTTCACCAAAGCAACGTATGGTCAGGTTAAACTAGTTAAGGAGGTTTTGGATATTTTCTGCAAGGCTTATTACCTTAAAGTGAACATTCAGAAATCTAGATTTTTGGCCTCAAATAATATCTCCGTAAGGAAGCTTGCCAAGTTCACTTCTATTATTAACTTCCACTACATGGATCTGGGTAAATATCTAGGATTTCCCTTACTTAAAGGTTAAGTTTGCAATAATGATTTTTTTTTTCATATTGTAGATGAAATGAATTGTAAGCTAACAGGTTGGAAGTCTAAAACATTAAACCGAGTTGGCAGAGTCACTTTAGCCAAGGCAAATTTGTCATCCATTCCAACCTACACCATACAAAACCTTTAGCTCCCTCCCTTAAGGCATTTATGATAAAATTAACATGTCCATTTGAAGTTTCATTTGGGGCAAACCTTATTCTTATTGGATAGGATGGGATAATTCCATTCAACTGAAGTATATAAGGGGTCTCAGTATTTATCAAATCTAGAGAAGCCAATATTGTACTCCTTGGGAAGCATATTTGGTCACTTCATTACCAATAGGACAAACTCTAAGTTGTTCATATGTTGAGAGATAAATACTTAAGGGACCTCACTATTATGAGTGGTGCTATCAAAGATGGATTTTATTATACTTAGTGATCATTGATGCTTGCGTATGACTCTCTGGAGGATGGCTTCAGATATAGAGTGAGGAGAGGCGACATTTCTCTATTTTTTGAAAAATGGCTTGATGAAGGGCTTCTATGTAATCAAGTGGAGTTAGTTCATGAGGAAGACTATCATTTGTGTATTAATAATGTGTTGGTGGATGTTGAATGGAGATGGGATGTCTTGCACACACAAATTTCATAGGACATCAAACAACATATGATGAGCATTATATTGGACATTAATAATTAGGATAAAATCAATTGAGGTCATTCAAGCACAAGATGTTATACTATTAAGTTTGCCTTCTAATGTATAGTTTATGAGCTTGCCATTCATTTTTCCGTAATGAGAAGTTGGTCTTGCATTTGGAAGACCTCACTACCAAAAAATATCAAACTTTTTTTTTGGCTTGCCTTCCATGGAAGCTTACCTACTAACCTTTTCTACTTTAAGCAACATTTATCTATTGTTTTCCTTTACTACAGGTGTAGAACACTCGAGGAGTCCTTTCTTCATATGTTTTAGGATTGTCTTACTGCTAATTCAAAAGGTTTATAGGAAACTCAATCTTGTTGTTGTAATCCACTTCACTATCATCATGAGATCCAATGGCTTAAGCACTATATGCAGGGGCAACATCACTTGTTGATAGCTTGTGCTTGATGGTTTATTTGGTGTGCTTGAAATGAAAAAGCTATGGAGAATGTGAAATGGTCTATATGGTATAATGTTAATTAAATCAAAATGATGCATAACATTATTTTAAGGGATTCATCAACACCAAACATCTTCATTGTGGAAAACAATTTAATGGAATCATCCTCTAGAGCATGTTATTAAACTCAACATGGATGGGAGCTCTTTTGGCATGTAGACACCCAATTTCCTCCGGACTCACAAAAGCAATGAAATGGACGTCTATTATCAAGGAAAGGAGCTCCCAAAGCATGCAAACAACATAACATGACATTAGAAGGCCTAAAGCCCAACAAAGGGTGACTTAGTAGCCTAAAACGGGTTGTTCCAAAAATGGAACGGTCCATTCCCAAACTGGAACGGACTATTCTCAAGCTGGAACAAGTTGTTCTAAAACTGGAACGGGCCGTCGTAAAAATGGAATGGGCTGTTCCAAACCACAAAAAAAGCCTAAAACCCTAGTTTGGAACGGGCCATTCCAACGTGGTAGTTATGTGTTAAAACTCAATTTTAGAACGGGTCATTCTGATTTCAAAATGGGTTGTTTCAAGATGTGAAATTAACACATAACGTACAGATCTAGAACGGCCCATTCTGGCAATTTCTGATGTCTATAAATAGACAACTCGGGCACTGTTCTCAGGGCCAGAAATTTAATCCATAGCTCCTTATAGCTCGAAATTCTCTCTTTCTCTCTCTCTCTTTGTATTTCTTGAGATTTTTGTGAGGAATATTATAGTGTGAAAGGTTTCCATAAAGTACCTAAAAATATCCATATTTAAAGATTCAATAGAGCTCGTTTAAGAGATATTTTAGTTAATCTTCTCTCCCTTTTATTTCTTATCTTTGATAAACATTGTTATAATAAAAGCAATCATGTAGACATTTTAGAGTCAATTGTGTAATTTAAATTTCAAGCATGTAAATAATCATTAATAAAAGGGATTAAATTTATAACTTATTAATTCTTCTTGTGCTAGCTTCATCATAAGGTACCGATTAAGGGCGTTGTAGGGGTGCTTAATACCTTTCCTACATGTAACCTACCCCTAACCCAATTCTGTTTATTAATGCCATTATTAGACTTTTGAAAATCCTTTTCTTTTTCCAATGTTTTGAGTAAAGCATTGGTGCCGACTCCAAAAACCTATTTTCAAAACCATTAATTAAGGATTAGTCTGGTATTCGAGCATTCCTTAATTGATGAAATTTTCGAAAGGATGTCTAAACCATAGGTCGCGAGATCGAAAATTTTCGGGTTTCGACATGGCAGTCCAAGCCCCTCGAATTATGGGGGACTTTTACGTAATTTAACTAGAGAATGGATGAAAGGCTTTTCAGGATCGTGCGACTTTGCTACAAACCTCTTTGCATAATTGTTGGCTCTATTGAAAGGGATTTAACTTGCTTGGGACATGAATATTCGTGATCTCTTATGTGAATCAAACTTATTATTTTCCTTTCAAATCATTGCTCAAGATAACTCCTTTAATCCATATGATGTTGTTATAAATAAAATTAAAGACCTCAAGCATTGAGACTAGAACGTCGCCTTTGTTCAAACTCTTCATTAAGGAAACAATTGCGCAAATATGTTGGTCAAGATAGGGTATGACTCTGACAGGCCTTTGGTGGTGTAGGATTCTAGTCCACAACCATTATATTCTTTGCTATTTGCTGAGAGTGTTGGTGTCATTTATTTTAGGCCTTAGTTTTGTTTGCTTTTTTTTTTTCATACTTGATTAATTTTTTTCATTAATAAATGAAGTTATTTAGTTTAGAAGAGCTATGTCTCATTCAAATCATACATATTTACATAGTTTGCAACTAGTTAATATTGAAAAAAAAATGATGTACATCATAGAGGAAAAAAAATCGAATTTGATTTCTTTTATGTTTTATATCTAGGATACTATAAATAACCTGTAATCCTATTAAAAATCTTCAAAATTTAAACCTTGTCCTAATCTAAACTCTTAATTACTTAAAAAATGCTAATCTTACGAGGATAATCCTACTCAACACGATACATTCTATGAAAAGAAAAAAGCTAATTAAACAAACTTATCAGCTATCAGCACGAATGTCCATCAAGCTTTGGGGCTTTGCCTTCTAACCTTTATTTCAATATATTTTTTTTTTAATATATATGATTTTTAAAAATAAAGATAATTATTTTTATAATCATGGACACATGTTTAAACTTAGGTTATTGCAATGTTGCTTTACAAGACACTTCTTGCATATTTTCTATTATTATAAACATGTATGAAAAATTTGTTAGCTTTAATAATAATTATCCTAAAAATCACAGAAATCATGTGATTCTTAATTGATTAAGTATAACATCTTTTACATTATCTATTCAACTCTAAAATTAATAATTATATATTGATTACATGAATTTTTTTATCTAAATTTAACAGGGCATGTAAATTCGCCATAGCTTCCACCTCCAATTCAGAATTTCGGAAGTTGATTAGTTGCTAAAGGCACCCTTAACACCCTCAAGGGTCTCCCCCATGGATAACCTGCAAGATAAACCGAAAAAATGCTTAGAATAAAAGCTTCATCTACACCAGCCACGTTAGTCTCAGTATATTGAGATCCAGTTTGGAAAAATTTCTCAACAAGTACTTATAGGGGATAAATAAAATGAATTCAGGTAAAATGAATCAAACTTCTCTTACAAGTTAAAATCAACTTATACACCAGAGCATTTTTAGAAGTTTCCTTATTTAATTCCTTCATATGTTCAAGTAAGTTGATTTTAACGGACAGAAAAAATTATACTTACTATATTTGCTTCTTCTGCAAGTGTTGGTTGAAAAAGTTATTCAAACTATCCCTATTTTTCATTGCAATGGCAAATCTGAAGTCTCCTAACATCTGAATTCCAAAAAAAATCCCCTTCATAAAGTGGCCCAGTTAAGGGTTTTGCTATTTTCCCATAATCTCTCACAAACCTTCAATAGTACCCTGTTAAACCAAGAAATCCTCAAGCTGTCTTTACATTCAAAGGAGATGGCAGCAATCCACCTTCCGAGGGTCCATTGACAAACCCTCTTTAGCAATGACATGGCCTAGGTAATAGGTAGTCTATCTCCCTTTTCCCTAAACTACACTTCTTCCAATTCACATAAAATTGAGAATTCTGTAAGGCCATCAGAACCAATTCAAGGTGCCTCATATGTTCCTGCCATGAATTGCTGTACACAAGTATGTCGCTAAAAAATACAAGTACAAACTTGCAAAGAAACGACTGTAGAGTTTATGGCACATTGTTAAGTAGTACGGGCATTGTTAAGTCTTGAATATGGTTTTCTCCACATCTTCATCCCGCATTCGGATCTGATGATAATCAAATTTCAGATCAATTTTTGAAAAATACTGTGCTCCTTCACTTCTTGACATCAAGAAGCTCCTCAATCATCAGAATGGGAAATTTATCAGGGATTGTGGCTTTATTAAGGACCCTATAATTGACACAAAATTGCCAACTCCTATTCTTTACCAAAATTACTGGGCTGAAAAAAGGGATCGTTTTTGGTTGGATAAATCCTGCCCCCAACATTTCTGCACCAAATGTGCAATCTCATTTTTCAGCACAAGGGTAACGATACTTCGCACTAATAGGATCAGTACCCATTTTGAGAGGAATTTTATGTTCAACTCCCTAGTGGGGTGTAAGCCTTTTGAAGTAGGAAAAACTGTAAAACTATTGAGAAGCTACCAATAATTCTTGCAGCTGTTGTATGTCCGGCGGTTCAAGCTAGTCATTCACCAAATTGGTCAGTTGCATAGAGAAAAAATATAGCAGAAAAGTTGTCTCCATTCAGCTACTGACTAGCCCTTGTCAAAAACTGAGAATTAGACAAGTGAGGGTCTCCCCGAATTGTTACAACTTTGTCACCCTGCGTAAAAGCCATGGTAGTGTTCCCCCTATCAGCCGAAACTACCCCTAAGGTAGCCAGCCAACCATGCCACCCCGAGGATAAAATCTAAGCCTCCCAAATCAAACACATAGAAATTCTCCCTCAAAGAATAATCCCCTAACTGAATCTCCAGCCCTTTACAACAGCCTTGAGTGTCTCCAGAATGAAGTGTAGGGACTTGGGAAATAGGGTGTGTTTCAGTACCTTGAAATAAGGCTGTATGGTGTTCAAAGAGTGTGTGGATTATCATTGCAATAACTGGAAAAGTTGAGGGAAGGGAGATTTCCCTTGGCAGAGAAATAAAACACTGAATTCTGTTTGTTTGGTTTTTGTGATCTTTTCTGCTTTGCCATCCACACTCTCTGTCTCCCCCAACATCCTGCGTCTGCATCAATTTGACATCTGCTGTCAGCTGCTTGATGTCTTGAATTGTCGCCACACTTTAGCAAATTTCAGAGAGTTGTGAGGTGTGTTCCTCTGCCAATTTTGTAGATACTCCACTGAGGTTTCAATTGTTGAAACAGTTTTCTCCAACGCTCCAACTCTTGACTCCATCTCCACTGGTGGGTTCTTAGGAATCCGACAGGTTGGACCAAAAATGATAGATTATTGAAAAGAAAAGAAAAAAAAAATAGAACAAGAAAATATTACAAAAAACAGACGAACAGAAGGCATAGTGTTTATTCCCCTGCCAAGGGAAATCTCCCTTCTGTCAACTGTTTCCAGTTATTACAATGATAATCCACACACTCTCTAAACACCATACAGCCTAATTTAAAGCCACTGAAACCCACCGCCAGTGCCCAAGTCCCAACACCTCCTTCTAGAATACAATTTTAATAATGAGCCTTGAGTACTTTCTAAAAATGGGCCATGGGCTGGCCTCTGGGTCCCTAACAGTCAACGTGTGATGCCTCATTTTGCTGTTTTTCTCTCCAGCAGTGTTTGGAATAACTTCTACATTCTGTGGTTTATGAGGCTCATGTTAATATAAGAAAAGTATCTTTATCTGTAACAAGCTATGATGTTAGAAAGCTTCAGTTTAAGGCAAGTCTTAGAATATTCAGATTCTTATTGTTTTAGGAGTCTTTTTGTGTTTGTAGTTTTATAGCTCAAGGTCAGTACTACAAACTGGGACACTCCAAGATGACATAACACCAGGCAGAGATACTTTCCTTTTGGACTTTTCATCTGCCATATAGACGTGACAGTTAGCAACTTAATATGCCATTAAAACTCAGCGAGTATGAATGACAGGATATCAACAATTAAACCCTTGGATGCAAGTTGCACAAGTAGCAGCCAGCAATGAGAAACCTTCTACTATCTAGTAAAAACTCAACCACCCTCCATCAGTGTCCCTTATCAATCTGAACATGCAACCATAATTCCCTCTGGCTGTACACACTCTACAAACAACTCAAGGTCCTCTAATTTATAGTAACTCTCCAAAATCAGGTAAAAGTAGCAATATGTGACTTTCCTAAGAAACAATGAACTTGTGAGATCCATTTTGTTTCCTCTATTTTCATTAATCAATAATCAATGTATCAAGACATGAATCCCAACCAAACAGTAAAGCTAAAGTTATAACAAACAATAAAACACATATTTGCTTCCTTAGGCCTGATGCTGACTTGGCTTAATCTCTGACACCAGATGTCAAAATATTACTAAAAAACATATTCAAATTGGTCAAGGTATTGGTTATCTACTAAACTACTACTTTGTGTATTTAGCTTTTTCTACTTAATTTCATGAATTTCCATATAAGAAAACTATGAGTGTCCTGTTTATGACATCAGGTATTCAATGATTAGTTACAATAATGGAAAAAGAACCACAACTCAATGTAAAATTGAAGTCCATGCATTGCAAAACATAAACTCTCTATCATAATATCATATAAAAGTTCCGAGCATCAAGATGCAGAAACTATACATACTTATGCATGCAGTATTTGTACTCTTGGCCCCGAATAAAGTCCTTTTCTCCCTCTTCAAGCTACAAGATAAAAAATGCAACTCAATTGAGCATAACCAGAATGGAAGAACAATAAAACACTATTAAATGAACCCCATTGAAAAAGCTATCGGATACAGAGTTTGCCTCACCGGGTCACTCTCATAGATAAGCTCGTAACAAGCTGGTGAAAGGCATCGCAGAGCACAATTCTCCCTTGCTATCAAGGATGATTTGCATGGTGAACCCCATAACCCACTATCCACCAAAAAGAAAAATCACAAATGTGCATCAACTTTTCCGAACATCACACATACTCTACAATCAAATTAAATTTCCAAGAAAAATAAACAAGTAGTAAAATAGAGAACAGCAGCCATTATCAACATAGCACTGAACTGGAAGCAAATATGCTCCAATTAATGGAGAAAAAATGAGTCAACAACAACAAATCTGTATCAACAACAGTTTCCAAAATCGCAAACATTCTTAACCCAGTTAAATTTTAAAGAAAAGAAATAAGAACCAGACCCATAAACTATAAAACCAAGTGCGCCTGGCTAAACATATCAGCATAGCTCCGAACTGGAGGCAAATATCTTTCAATTATAACAGTAGAGAGGTTAGATTAATAAAAACAAATGTAGTAGATATACAAATTAGTCCCTAAGATATCTTACCTGCTATGGTCATCCAAAGTTTCTGTCTATACAAACAGTCCTTAAAATTCACAACTTGCTATCAAATACATTCTACCCTAATGTTAAAATAATAACAAAAGTCATATTTCACGAACACAAAATATTTCACGAACACAAATTAGTCTTTGATTGTTAACTTTGGGATATTGTGTGAATTAGGTCCATAGACCAAAAATACACTCTTACCCAAATTTTCAATTCGCTATCAAATCCACTCTACACAAATTCTCAACTTGCTATCAAATTCACTCTACCCGGATTGTCAACTTGCCACCAAATTCACTCTACAAAAATCCTCAACTTGCTACCAAATTCACTCTACCCAAATTCTCCACTTTCTATCAAATTCACTCTACACAAATTCTCAACTTTTCAAATTCACACCACACAAATTCTAACTTGTTAACAAGTTCACCCCTTTGGATATCAATTTGTATAGACAAAACTTTTGGGATCAACACAACACGAGTAACATCATTAAGCACCAAGTTGTACATTAACAAAATATGTCAAGTATCATGTTAATATCACATATATTCTAGAACCCAATTCTCTTCTTAAGAACCTGTCAATATCAGCATAGCACTGAAGCTTGTTCTTCCTGACTTGAGCATCCTGCGAGATACCCAGAAATGAAATTTAGCAGAAACACGAAAAGGGTAACAGAAAAGACAGCACAGACAAAAAAAGAGGGAGATGCGTACGGAGATTGAGTGAGAAGACTTGGCAAGGAGTGTTGAGCAGAAGAGTGAGAATGTTATGATAAGAGATACGAAGGAATTTCGTTTTGCAATCACCATTCTGAATATTGAATATGATTGCTATGTAAAAATCAAAGGACGATCAAACAATTTCAAGTTGGATGGAAACCAAAAGTAATCAATCAAGCAGAAAGTGAGTGCGCTTCATCGACAACCCTTTTGGGAGAAATAATAACGTTCTGATTTGATTACCTTGCTCACTGCAGAATTGCTGTTTACTATTATTTTTTTTTAGATAATCACGTGTAAATTTTTACATCCACAATTAATCAGAGTTATTAATAATGTCTTTTTTATTTTAATTTAATTAAATAAGTAGATAAAAAGGTATTATTAACTACTCTGATTAACTGCTAATGTAAAATTTTTTTACGCTAACAGTGTATAGGTAATTAACTTTTATTTTTTTCTTCATAAAATTTAATTTATTTTACAGCAAAAATTTAATTATCTTTTAGCCTCAGCAATTAAAAAATAAGTGAGAATAATTTTTTTACACAATAAGCAAAATTTGATTTTATTCTATTAGTTTTATAATTAAAAATAAATTTAAATAAATTTTTAATTATTGTAAAATAAAGAAATTTTAATTGATGTAAAAAAAATATTTTTCATCATCTAAAATTTAAAATTTTTAGAAGTATAATTAAAACTTTTAGAAAGATTAAAAACAAAGAAACTTTTTTACAGAGGGTAAAATCAAATTCATTTTATAAATCAAATCTAAACTTTTAAAATATTTTATTTTAGTTCTTATATATATATATATTTTTATTTTTTATTTTTTTTAGTCTCTATAATTTTATAAAATTTACTTTTTAGTTTTTATAAACAAAGATGATAGGAAAATAAATATATAGATTAAAATAAAATATTTTAAGTATAAAAAATTAAAGATAAAATTTATAGGCTTAAATATATTTTTAATCTTTTAAATTTAAGATAAATTTATTTTTTATCCCTCAAATTTAAAACAGCTATTTTTAGTCCTTATAATTTTTAAAAATCTTGTTTTAGTCCTTTAGGTCACCAATAACATATATGAAAGCGATAAATTGAGACAGTTATGCATTATTAACTGGATTTAATATGGTATTTTTACTAATAGGAACATTAGTTAATAGATTTTATGAGATAGTATTTGACATATTTTTTAACAAAATTTGAATATATAAACTAAAATAAGATTTTTTAAAATTACAGGGGCTAAAAAAATCAATTCTAAATTTGAGGGATTAAAAAAAATTATCTTAAATTTAAGGAACTAAAAATATATTTAAGTCAAATTTAAAAAACTATAAGTACCAAAAAGTGATTAAACATAACATTTTTTTTCTCCTAAAGAGTAAAATGATATAAAGTAGATTTCATTTCTTTTCTATCATGTTATTTTACACCCATGAATCTACATTATATGTACTAGTGAAGTTGAAGTACTTCGTGCCTTTATTAAAAAAATTAAAATTAAAATTAAAATAATTAATGTTGGTGTTGTGGTTGGTTCTTAACCTTCAAAGTCTTGAGTTTAAAAAATATTAATTTTTTAATTTTTAGATAATAAAAAGGTATAATGGTTTACCAAATGTGAAAATCCAGGTAATTACTAAAAAGGATCCTTTTTATATTTTAGTATAAATTAGAGTGGGGAAAAACACTTTATGCCTATCTATTTTTTAAAATATATAAAAAAAGGAAATTCAAAGGATTGGGAATGGATTCAAGAAAAAAAATAGTAGTAAGTCATTTACAAACATATATGGGATATTTTTCCATGTCAAAAAAGGTTGAAAGAATGTCAAAGATACATCAAAATACTCTTGTGAATGAGGTAAAGTTAGCACTAAACAACTTTCCCAAACCTAGAACTTTGCTTACTCTTAAACAAAGCCCCCTAACTTAACCTTAACACTAAACTAGAAAAAAACTAATCAAAACACTAAATTCACAAACACACAAAATTGAGATAAATCAACAAAACATTAGATACAAGCTTTAACCTGATGGGGTTATTTTATAGTATTTATTTGAGGAGATATTTTATGAGGGATATTTTTATAAGATTATTTTACACACAATTTGATGGAGGACCATCCTTGGAACTTCATGTGGGACTCATCCAATGGTCCATAGCTAGGAGAACGGAGGAAGATGAAGGAGATAACATGCCTAGAGCCATACTCATCACAAATATGGAGTATTGATCCATCTCCTAGGCCCATTTTGAGTAGTATAGGATTGTATTGCTTTATTCCAATTTTACCCTTGTATTTTGGGGTATTTTAGTCTTAGAATTTATTTTACTTGTATTTCCCATTTTACCCTTGTATTTTGGGGTATCTTAGTCATAGGGTTTATTTTCTTTTGTATTTCCCATTTTACCCTTGTATTATGGGGTGCTTTAGATCATAGGTTTTTAATTTTGGGCTAAGATATTTAATTAGGGAGTTAGACGCATTTTTGGTGGTGTTTAGACCTATTTTTGGACTTAGAAAGGCTTAGGCCCAAGTGGAGGGCAAAGGTTGCATGGTCTTATCATGCACCTAGATGTAACCTAACTAAACTCAAAGATTTCATCCTTGGCCACCAAGTTGCATTTATGGTTAATTTGGGTTTCATTTGGTGTGCATTTGGAATTGTAAATGTCGGCCAATGCAACCCTAAATGCAACCCTAGATGCCTCCCACTCCTATAAATACCCTAGGCACCACACCTTGTAAATACTTTGGAAATTATAAGGTTGAGTGAGCCTTTGAGCCTTAATATTTTCCTTAGTCTCCCTTGGCTATTTTCGGCCAAACCCTACCATCTTCACCTTAAGAAAAAAACCCTAGAAGTGGCCTTCATCATCAATGAAGTGAGCCAACCCTAGAGTGCTCTTTTCAAGCCTTTCATCCAACACCTTCTACCCTACTTCCCATTCGCCCATTCTATCATCATCCACCCTAAAACCTTGTGCCACCTTTGAAGAACTTAATCCTTAGAGTAAGCGTCCTCTTCCTTGCTCATCATCTCATGTTCGTGCAAGTAAGGATGCTATCACAATTTCACAATGATGAGATATTGTTCGCTTTTTTACTTAAGCCCTCACGGTTTTGCTTTTGGTCATCATTCAAAAGGCCTCTCAAACATTGGAGTATATGTGTGCTTTATAAGTTGTTGCTTTTTCTTTTATTTTATCGATATAAGACTTGTTTGTATCCCAACAATCCTCCCCTCAAACAAGGGACCTAACCTTTAATGCAGTGTAATCTGTCTTTATATATCACATTATCAGTTATGAGTTATGAGGGTTGTCACTGAATCCAACCTTGAGGCTCTGATACCACTGATGAAGTTATTTTATGGTATTTATTTGAAGGGATATTTCATGAGGGTTATTTTTATAAGCTTATTTCACACACAACTCCACAATGATAAGATATTGTCCACTTTGGGCTTAAGCCCTCACGATTTTACTTTTGGTCATCACCCAAAAGGCCTCTCGAACATTGGAGTATGTGTGTACTTTATAAGTTGTTATTTTTTCTCTTATTTTATCAATGTGGGACTTGTTTGTATCCCAACATAACCTTCTTTCAACTCTAGGGAAATAATCTTTCTTTCATTCAAAACAATGTCCACAACACAAGCATAGCCAAGACATATAAGTTCAACACATTTAGAGATTAATGCAATTGGCAATCTAACGTCAAGTAATCATGTTAAGTCAGACGAAGAAATTCTCAACAAGATTTTGAACATGACAAATATAATACATATTGTTATTTCTAACATGTGTGTTAGTATTTCTGATAAATATAAGACTAGGCAAAACTAAAGGACGAAGTACGCATCATTACACATACTATGATCAAACCAAATGAAGTCTAGTTGAGCTGTACAAAATATCAGACGATCAGAAGTTAGACGAAAATGCAAGAAAAAGAGTATTACTAATCAAAGGTCAACAAAAGTATCAGACGATGGATAATACAAGACGAAGAAACGTTCCAGATGGAATTAAAGTATACCATCTTCACAACTAACCAGGTGAAAGGAAAAATCAAACCAGACGAAAAGAAAGTCAAAGTCTGCTCAAATTTCAAATGTATTACCAGACGTAGACGAAGAATACTAAAAAGCATCTGGAGTCCACTATTCATAACAAGAGATATCATATATTGTCTAGACTCATAGAAGAGCACACAAAGTCATCAAAAGTGTGAAAAGAAAGAAGAAAGATAAACAAGTGCATATCCACAAGTCAAAGATGCGAGTGTTAGAGAAAGTACACCTACTTTTCAAATAAAGACAACGCCTCTACAACTACATGTCGCCACCGGCCCGAAATGGGCTTTCGGCATTCG